TGGCGGCGGGGGAGGGACCCCGGGGGCAGCTCAGAGCGCGGCTGGTGCTCGGGTGGCGGAGGGAGAAAGAAGGAAGGGAGGCAGTCAGTGAACGGCGGCTCGCAGGGAGCGAGATGGAGGGAGGGAGGGAGGAAGGCGGAGGGATATTCGGGCCGGACCTCTCCGCGGCGGCACCGCGCTCCGCGTCGATTGGCTGCCGCCGTGGCCATGCGGCGCCCCCTATTGGCCAGGCCGTCTGCGTTGAAGGGCCGCCCGGCATCCATTCGCCCGCTGGTTTCAAGTCCCGGGTTGGTTGGGCGGGCAGCGGAATGGGGTGCGTGGATTGGCCGAGGGCAGGAGCTAGCTGGGTGCTGATTGGGCGGGCTTGGTAAAGGCCTCGGTCTCAGACCGGCTGAGCGCTGAGAGGAGAGGGGACCTCAGGCAAGACTCCGGGCCCGCATGATTGGCTGGGGTACTAGACGTTGATAGGCCAGGGCGCCCGGGAGAATTGGGGAGAAGAGTTCGGGGTCGGGGCCTCGGAAAGGCGGGAGGTGCCCCGCCGCTTCAGGAGCCCGGCGCGGGGCAGGATGGGACGCCCCCGGGAAGGGGCGGAGCCGTGTCCGGGCTGCGGTTGGGGAAGCGCCGTCCCTCGAAGGGGCGTGTTGAGGGTTTCGCGGGCTTGAGCCGGGGATTGGGGGGGTGGGGGGGCGCGTTAAAGCCTTGCACCGCGCCCACAGGAAGCTGCTTTAATGGCTGGGACTACTTGGCAGCGGGCTCGCGCGGCAGGGCAGGACCTTGGAGACCACGCGGTTCAACTTCCAGTTTGCAGATGTGGAAACGGAAGCCCAGAGAGGGTATGCAACCGGTGCAAGGTTACACAGCTGGTTAGTGGCCTGCTCGGGACTGGACTCCAGCGCTCCGGACTGCCCTTGGCCTTGCACTCAGCTTCCCCCTTCGAGGAGGTGAATACTAATCATCACTTCCCTTAGACCTATTTATAGGATTTGAGGCCGGTGCTGTTACAAGCTCTAACTCACATGGGGTGGGTATTCGAATTCCTCTTAGATCTCCACCCACATGTACCAGGTACTTAAAGGAATAGAAATGTTTCATCCTGTGAAGGTGCAGAAAGAATCGTGTACAGGTGTAAAGCATCGTGGTTCTTAGCCTTTTTTTTTTTTTTTTTTTTTTTTTTTTTAGTTCTAAGCTCTGGAAGGAACTAATAGTGAAAGCCTTCCATAGTAAAATGCACATAAAGGAAATGTGCAGTTTTGGTTGTTTTTTTTTTTAACTTCCCCTGATATTGTTACATGGGCTGCACGTGAAGAATTGTCTGAATTGTTACATTTTCACCATATTGCTCTAGGGTTAATTGGATGCAGGCAGTTTATAGAACTCTTGACCATGAGCTTGAACTTGTGGAATAATTGCCCTACGCTGGCCATACTCAGTAGGGAAACTAGGAGGAACTCTGTCCTCACTGAGGTTCCATCTTATAATTAGGAAAGGTGGGCCAGCTACCTTTAATCATTAAAAGAGGAAGAAAAGTTCTTTCTCTGCTAGAGATAATCATTGCCGTTCTGAAGCAGAACTGTGGATCACCTTCCTCACCCCGTGCTGTGACTAGTTGATTTCCGATGGCTTAGCCTTAGCAGTTCTAACCCCAGCCTTTTGCTTCATCTGTTAATTGAGGAAGAACTACCCTGTGTGTGTAACTTTGTTAGTAATCAGTGAAGGTTTAGGGAGGTGACGCCCATGAAAATCTTTGAATTGGCCTTATGTAGATTACCCAGACGCCAAATGATCCACAATTTTGTCTCCAAGACAACTTTCTCCTGCACCCCTCGCCGCGGTTTGCCGAGCCACCCCCTCTGCTCAACATCAGTCGTGATAATACCAGTGAAGGCAAATGGATTTGTAAAGTAGCTGGAATAATATGGTGGGGAGATAAATGTTTTGCAGCAAAGTGCCAGTCAAACATAAGATCCGAGAGAAATAATTTTAGTTCAATTGACGTTACTGATGCTGCTGTCCAGTCCCTGTCTAAATCACTCACTCCTGCATTCAGCAGGTGCTAGGGAGGCACCACAGTGAGTGAGTGCACACACTCTAGAAACTGACTACCTGGGTTCATCCTAGCCCATCTCTGCCACTTCCCAGCTTGTGTGACTTAGTTTGCTTATATATAAAATGATAATTTACCTACCTCAAAAGGCTTCTGGGAGTTCTTATGTGAGTTAATAGATGTTAAGTGCTAAGAACACAGCCTGGCATGTTCTATATGTTACATACACATTGACTATTATCTATTTAGCATGTATTTTGGACTAAGCAAGTAGTTCTTGGTCCCTGGCTGATTAGAGAAGCTAATCTCACAAATAAATGTCAAAGTGACAGATACCAAGGAATGCTACAGTCAGGGGACTCAAGAAAAACTTAGCTGAGAAAGGGAAGAGAGTTATTCAGGTGGAGCAGAAAGGAACAGTATGTACAAAGGCCGAGGTAGGAGAGTGCTTGGAGATTATAAGGAACTGCAAGAAGGCGGGGCCCCTAAAACAGAGAACAAGGGGTTGAGATAAAGCTAGAGTGTTGAATAGGGAAAAGGCCACGTGAAACCTTGCATGCCACTCAAGTGATTTTGTCTATATCCTAAGAGCAAAGAGCAGCTGTTGAAAGGTTTTAACACCTTTCGTACCACATAGAAATCTCTAAGACATACGCCAGGGACCGCACGTTTTCGGGCAAACTGCACGTTATTTAAATCATCATAATGCACTTTAGGTGTCGTTTTTCAATAATTATAACATTTTTATTTACAAAAACAATTAAACAATTAAAGTTCCTAGTACTTTTTTAACGTATGGTACTGCGTAAAACATTTTCCTCTAAGAAGAGGGACCAAACAAAATTTACATAAATATCTAGATTCGCTCCTTTTTCCATGGGCATACCATCTCTGCCACTTCCCAGCTTGTGTGACTTAGTTTGCTTATATATAAAATGATAATTTACCTACCTCAAAAGGCTTCTGGGAGTTCTTATGTGAGTTAATAGATGTTAAGTGCTAAGAACACAGCCTGGCATGTTCTATATGTTACATACACATTGACTATTATCTATTTAGCATGTATTTTGGACTAAGCAAGTAGTTCTTGGTCCCTGGCTGATTAGAGAAGCTAATCTCACAAATAAATGTCAAAGTGACAGATACCAAGGAATGCTACAGTCAGGGGACTCAAGAAAAACTTAGCTGAGAAAGGGAAGAGAGTTATTCAGGTGGAGCAGAAAGGAACAGTATGTACAAAGGCCGAGGTAGGAGAGTGCTTGGAGATTATAAAGAACTGCAAGAAGGCGGGGCCCCTAAAACAGAGAACAAGGGGTTGAGATAAAGCTAGAGTGTTGAATAGGGAAAAGGCCACGTGAAACCTTGCATGCCACTCAAGTGATTTTGTCTATATCCTAAGAGCAAAGAGCAGCTGTTGAAAGGTTTTAAGAAGGATAGTGGTTGCCCTATCGGCCCAGTGGTTGGCAAACTGCGGCTCGAGAGCCACATGCGGCTCTTTGGCCCCTTGAGTGTGGCTCTTCCACAAAATACCGACTTCTGCGCATGGGCCACGAGGTTTCAATCACACTGTAACGTGCGCACCCGCACGTGGTATTTTGTGGAAGAGCCACACTCAAGGGGCCAAAGAGCCGCATATGGCTCACGAGCCGCAGTTTGCCAACCACGGCCCTAGCCGGTTTGGCTCAGTCGATAGAGCGTCGGCCTATGGACTGAAGGGTCCCAGGTTTGATTCCTGTCAAGGGCATATGTAGGGGCGTGCAGGAGGCAGCCAATCAATGATTCTCATCATTGATGTTTCTATCTCTCCCTCTCCCTCCCTGAAATCAATAAAAATATATTTTAAAGAAAGGATAGTGGTTGTAATATGAAGATTAGCCTGGGAAGGGGGAAGAGTAGATGCAGGGAGACCAGTTAGGAGGCCATTGTAATAATCCAGATCAGAAATGATTCTTGTAGAAAGGAGAAGGGTAGGAAGAATAGTGGAAATAGATATCAGAGTTAATTGAACTCAGTGACTGGAAGAAGAGGGAAGTGCACTGGTACCTATTAGGATGCTATTTGCAGTATCTCCCAAGTGGAAGGAATCAGAGACCATTGTTTAGCAGAGTGAGGAGAGGTACATAGGAGGCTTCAAGTTGTATTTCTTTTTTTTTTTTTTTAATATATTTTTATTGATTTCAGGGAGGAAGGGAGAGGGAGATAGAAACATCAATGATGAGAGAATCATTGATCGGCTTCCTCCTTCATGCCCCATTCTGGGGATTGAGCCCACCACCCGGGCCTGTGCCCTGATGGGGAATCGAACTGTGACCTCCTGGTTCATAGGTTGACACTCAACCACTGAGCCACACCAGATGGGCTCAAATTGCATTTCTTAACCTCTCTATGGAGTACATGGATTTTGATATGTTGTTCTCTAACTTTTTGAATGTCTGGAATATTCATGTCTGGTGAACAAAAAATTATGTAATTAAGAAAGAGAAAAACTGAGTTTCACTCTTACTCTGCTACTTCCTGTTGTATGATCCTGAGCAAGTTCCTTAACCTTTTGGATCTGGATCTGTGAAACGGGTTGCCTGAGCAAAACCGGGAGCCTCTCTGAGGTGCTTGGTGCAAGTGTCTTGTGCCAGGAGGTGCTCCCAGTATGTTAAGCAAGTGAATTAGTGAATTCAAGAGATCAGCTGCGTTTCCCCTCCCAGGGTGATGTCTCCGCCCACGCCCCTCCAGGGGGGGAAAACTAAACCTGAGGCTCTTTCTTCCTGAGCAAGGCTGACCTCCTTGGCCTCATTCGTGATTAGGAAGAATGGGGGTGAATATGACATTTGGAGGACTGAGTGCAAGAGAGAAATTCACAGAATGCTCTTCGTCTTCAACTCCCATAAGCAGAAAGACCATTATTGTAAAAGAATTCTCTAATTTTCCCTGTCTTTTCCCTTTGCTCACTAAGCTCTAGCCTTTCTATTCCTTGGACACTCCATGATTTGTGAGTCTGAGGACGTTGGTATTTGCTGTTTCTCCCCATTATTCTATCTCAGATTCAGATGTCACTTTGTAAGGCCTTTCCTGACCAACCTATCTAAGGTACTTCCCACAGCTACTCCATGACAGGACCCTAGTTGATTATCTGCAGAGCATCTCTCAATACTTGAAATTATCTTTTTTCTTTTTTTTTTTGCTGTCTCCCCATAGCCACTAGAATGCAAGTTCCATGAGAGCAAGGATCTTGTCTGTGTTATTTGGTGCTTAAAATTGTGCCTCACACATAGTAGGTGCTCACATATTTGTTAAATGGAAGAAGTATATATAACTAAGCTTGCAGCATGTCCTCATGACCAGTGAGAAGTGACCATCTAGCTTTGTTGAAGGCACTTTATAACTTCGCCCTCTTTCCCAGTGTTCCACTTGTACCTGTGGTCCAGTCAGTCCAGCCAGATCATATCCCCTGCCTGGAGTTTCCTCCTTGTCCTCTGTCTTCAAGAATGTACTCTTGCCTGGCCAGTGTGGCTCAGTGGTTGAGTGTCAACCTATGAATCAGGTGATCACGGTTCGATTTCCAGTCAGGGCACATGCCCGGGTTGTGGGCTCGATCCCCAGGGGGAGGGGTGTGCAGGAGGCAGCCAATCAGTGATTCTCTCTCATCATTGATGTTTCTATCTCTCCCTTTCCCTTTCTCTCTCTGAAATCAATAAAAAAATTTTTTTTAGAGTACTCTTGTTAATTTGCTCATTAAACTATAATAACTTACTGTTTCCCTCACCCTCTAGGGCATTTCAAATATGACATGGGAATGATCAATAAACAGGTAGTTATTACTTGATCAGAAGAAATGTTTAATTATTATTATTATTTTTTAATCCAGGAAAAGGGATAGGGAGAATGTTTGAAGAAGGATGTAAGGGCCAGGACCCCGCAGCACCGGCACAACCAAACCTCTATGAACGATTTTCTGAACTCAGGTGATGATTCTTTCTATTGTATCCTCCTCCCCAAAGCAGAAAGGGACTCAGTATGGGAGCACAGATAGAAGGAAGGGTGGGATAATGTCAGAATATAGAGATAAAAGCTTCCTGAATTCTAAGCTAGCAGGGCCTCTGAGAGAGGTGAGGGAGGTGGAGCAAATTTTTTAATGCGTCTTACTGCTGCCCCTCCCGTGTTTACCGAAGAGCTTGGAGACAGACCAGGCACCTGAGCCACTTTCTCCTTTCATTTATTCAGTCCTCTTTTATCCTCTCTCTTTGTTCTTTTTATGATTATCAAAGTAATACATGCTTCTCACTGGCAAAGTTTTGAAAAGCATCAAGAGTTAAGCAGAAATCACCTGTAATGCCAAATTATATCCACCATTAAAGTAATTGGTATATTTTTCCCAACAAAGTTCAAATTTAAATGAAAACCAACGTATTACCTTGTAACATTTTTGTCATCCCTCCTCAAAATGTACTTTTAAGAATTTTAAATTGGTTCAACTCTATCCGGTTGCATTAAAAATAGGATGAACTAAACATTTGAACTGGCTCTGGAAGGCATTTCACACAGAGCAATGCAGAAAAAAGCCTTTTAACTTTGGCTTAACCTTTTTTAAAAAAGTGCCAATAGAATAAGCTAAAATGGGAAAATTATTGAAGTATGCCCACTGGGTCACCAAACCCAAAGCTCCCGAAGGCCTCTTTTCCCGGCCAGGTGTAGCAGGGAATCCTCTATTCAGGCCAGGGCTCTTCTCTATTTCAGTTCTCTTTTTCTTTATTTAACTGAATACGTACTCAGTTTCCATTATCTGTTTTGTCATTTTGGGGAAAACCCAGCTCTTCTTGTATGTCTCCATTATTCTCACACCTTCTACACTCACAACACCTCTGACACCAGAATGTGTGGGGTTTTCCCCCATCAAACAATACTCTGACCCCAGGTGGGTGTCCAAATTTTACTCAATTCTGACACTACCTGGAAATAGCCTCAGATTCCACAGGTTGAGGGCTCAGTCCCCTGAGACTGCCCCCCACTTCAGATGCCCATCACAAGTAGTGGGCCCCCAGGTTACCCACAACCTCTGTCTGACTTGGCTACAAATGAGATGTCCCTTTGACCCCTTCCTTGGGTTCTGCTACCGCGGCTCACAGAACTCAGGGAAGCAGTTACCTACATTTACCAGGTTATTAAAGATATAAAAGATACAGATGAACAGCCAGGTGAAGAGTTACTGAGGGTGAGATCTGGCGCGGTCCCTAGCACAGTAGCTTCTGTCCCTGTGAAGTTGGGGTGCACCATCCTCCCAGCTCATGGCTGTGTTCATCCACGGGAAGCTCCCCGAACTCCCTGCTATTGGAATTTTTATGGGTGCTTCCTCTTGTAGGCATGATCAGTTATTAACTCATTTTCCAGGCCCTCTCCTCTCTCTAGAGAAGCTGGATGCGGCAGGCCGAAAATTTCAGCTTCTAACTATGGTTCGGTCTTGCTGGTGACCAGCCCACATCCACTACCACCCGAAGTCGCCTCAGAACAGAACATGCTCCTCATGCTCTTATTATATGGAATGTACAAGTCGCCTCAGAACAGAACATGCTCCTCATGCTCTTATATGGAATGTACAGGGTTTTAGGAGCCCTGTGTCAGCGATGGAGTCAAAGACCAAATATTAACCCTCGCCTGTTTGGCTCAGTGGGTAGAGTGTCAGCTTGCGGACTGAAGGGTCCCGGGTTCAATTCCAGTCAAGGGCACATGCCCAAGCTGTGGGCTTGGTCCCTAGTAGGGGGCATGCAGGAGGCAGCCAATCAATGATTTTCTCTCATCATCGATGTTTTTCTCTTCCTCTCTGAAATTTAAAAACAAAACAAACAAAAAAACACACCAAATATTAGATCGAGAGAGGCTCCTAGTGTTCTTACCACTTAGGAAACTGTAAGGGTTTTAGGAGCTCTGTGCTAGGAACTGGGGACAGATACTAATATATATTTTTTCTGTTATTTCACATTTGTGTGCACACACATCTTTTATCCCCATAGACTATAACTCAGGGGTTCTCAACCTTGGTGCTATTGATATTTTGGACCAAATAATTTGTTTTTGGGGCCTGTCTTGTACATTGCAGGATTCTTTTTAGCAACATCCCTGGCTTCTACCCACTAGATGCCAGTAGCAAACCCCTCTCCTGACAATAAAAAAAATGTCTCCAGATCACCCTGGCTGGTGTGGGTCAGTGGTAAAGCATCAGCCCAAGCACAGGAGGGTCTCAGGTTTGATTTTCAATCAAGGCATGTGTGGGAGGCAACCAATCAGTGTGTCTCTCACATTGATGTTTTTCTCTCCCCCACTCTGTCCCTTCCACTCTCTCTCAAAATCAATGGAAAAAATATCCCCCAGTGAGGATTAATCAAAAAAAGAAGTCTCCAGACCTTGCCTATTTTTCCCTGGTGACAGAAATCACTCCACCCCCAGCAGATGAGAACCACTGCAATAGCTCCTGGAAGTCAGAGGCCTTGTCTTATAAATTCTGTATCCCCTAGAATGCATAGCACATAGTGAGCATTTTTGTTGTCCAAACAGTATCATTGCCTCATGAAAATCATTGCTATTATTTGTAAAGCTCACACTCTTTGTACTGTTCTAAGCTCTTTACATATATTAACTCAATCCTCACAACAACTCTATGAGATAGGTACTATTTTTGTGCCCTTTTTAGAGTCAAGAAGCTAAAGTTCAAAGAGGTTGGGTTAGTTGCTCCAGTCACCTCCCTGGGGAGTAACTGGGATTTGAACCCTAACCAGGCAGTCCAGCTGCAGAATCTGGGCTCAACCATCTTGCTATCTGCTACTTTTAAATACAAAGAACAAAACTCAATTTGTAAAATAAGTCAGACATTCTCCATTGGTCTACAGAATTTGCATAGGCAAACACATGGTAAAAAATAAAATTTCCTTTTTGACAGAATAGAGCAAAGCATTTTGCAAAAATCTCCTGCATTGTTTCAGTGGATGCATCATAGTCTGTAAAACTAACATAACCAAGTCTTTTATTGGGCATTTTGGTTGTTGCTAATATTGTATCTGAAACATTATAATCAATTGTTTATTGCATGTAAGTTATACTTCAAAAAATGTATCAAACATGTAAGGATACAGTTTGATACATTTCGACAAATGTATAAACCCATGCTACCACCAACAATCAAGATGTAGAACAGAGCATCTTAATCACTTTTGTTCCTTTCTGGAGTGGTGTACTAAAGCTGGCTAGTGTCCTGGTACCAGCTGGGAGAATCAGTTATGTACATTTCTCAAATCTGCATTTAGTGACATCACATTAGTAGCTCAAAATTGGCCAGGGTGGGAGTATTTACACCACAGAAATTGATCAAGTGTCACAAACCAGGGCTGACACCCCCCCCCCTCCACTTTTTTTGACCCCGTATAGTCTGCCTGCATCCCCTGCCCCAGGCCTTCACCATCCTATTGCTCGTGTAAAAAAATTTTTTTAATATATTTTTATTGATTTCTGAGAGGAAGGGAGAGGGAGAGAAACATCAATGATGAGAGAGAATCATTGATTGGCTGCCTCCTGCATGCCCCCTATTGGGGATGGAGCCCCCAACCCGGGCATGTGCCCTTGACTGGAATTGAACCCAGGACCCTTTAGTCCGCAGGCTGATGCTCTATCCACTGAGCCAAACTAGCTAGGGCTAAAAAAAATTTTTAAATAAAATATGATAACCACTAACTTTAAAGGGTTGGAAGATAAAGAAATATCCTAAAAAAAAAAGCACCCTGAAAAATAGGCATTAAAATATTTTTTTAAAGCTAGAGGTAGCCTAGGAGGACTAACATTTAACTAAGAAGAGTTCTAGAGAAATAGAAAATTGGAGGGAAAGCCATCATTGAAGGAATAATTCAAGAAATAATCTTAGACCCAGCCACAGCCACGGTGGCTCAGTGGTTGAGCATTGACCTATGAACCAAGAGGTCATGGTTTGATTCCCGGTCAGGGCACATGCCCTGGTTGTGGACTTGATCCCCAGTGGGGGGCGAGGGATGTGTGTGCAGGAACTAGCTGATCAATGATTCTCTCTCATCGATGTTTCTATCCCTCTCCCTTCCTCTTTGAAATCAATAAAAACATTTGAAAAAAAGAAATGATCTCCGAACTGAAATCATCTCCAGAATGAGAGGCCCACATAATGGATGAAAAACAAATGAATTTCAGATCATTGAGTACATAGAGGAAAGTTACTAAAAATCTTCCAGAGAGAAAACGCAGGTCACATGAAAAGGAGCAAAGGTCAGAGTGGTACCATGCTCCTCAGCCATACTGGAAGACAGTGGAGGAATGCTTTCAAATTATTACCTATAATTTTAGGAATTAGCCAAAATTGTGAATTCACTAAAGTAAGCACATTTTCAGATGTATGAAATCTTATTTTTTTTTAAAGTATATGAAATCTTGAAAATTTTACTTCCTACCCATCTATCCTTTCTCAGGAAACTACTGGAGGATGTGGTGCACCAAAACGAGAGAATAAACTAAGAAACAGGAAGACATGTGGTCCTAGAAACAGGATATTCAACATAGGTGAGAAATGAAGAGAATCCCCAAGATGATGACGAAGGGAAATCCTAGGGTGACAGACGGCCTGGCTTAGAGAGTGATCAGTCAGGATTGGGGCAGGAGGACAGAAGGCACCAGAATGGATGTCCCCAAGAAATAAAATGAGATGAATAGAGGAAAAATGTACACTTTTGGTGATAGTGGAGAATAAATTCATTATAGGGACATGGAAAACTAAACAAATAAAAACCAATTTGTTGTTAATAATTCTAAAAAATTGATTTTTTTAATAAACTGAAAAAGAAAGAAAGCTTAATTATAGAAGACTAAATAACTTGGCTGTGCATGGTATTTATGGAGGCATAATTATGTAAACAGAGTATATGGATGGATCTCCACTAATCCCAGCATTCCTGGGCTTGCTCCTTGCAGTCTGCATTCCAGCCAGCAGGGGCTGGCTCTCTGTTCTAACTATTCTGGGTTTCTTTTGGTTAAACAGGAATTGATTTAATTACATTCTATTGGAAAATTAATACATTAAGAAATTGTTGAATTAAAATATCAATAAGAAAAATGGGTCTAAGCAAAAGGCTGTGGACAAAACTACACACACACACTTTATCCCCCCATTTTTGTACTAAACACCTGTAAAAGATTGTCTGAAGCTTTAAACTTGTGTTCTGCTAACTAATTTGAGAACTTTGATTTACCCAAACTATATATACCCAACCTTCATCCTCTTATGGGGAAGTTAAGTTGTGTATATTTGAATCCAGCATATGTTAGATTGACCCTTACCACATTATATTGCAAGTTTTTTGTGTTTGTTTTTTTTTTCTAGTTCCGTTTTCTTTTTATTCACTAGCCTGTACTCAGTTCAAGGGCAAGTTCTTGTTTTTTCCCTCTGCAAGGTTCTGGCACCTAACACAGACAGACCTTGGCTCTCCTCTCCTTTCTCCTCTCCTCTCCTCTCCTCTCCTCTCCTCTCCTCTCCTCTCCTCTCCCTTCCTTCCTTTCTTCCTTCCTTCCTTTCTTTCTTTTTTTAATCTAAGATTTACTGAGTAACCACAGAAACCACAATTTGAGATGGTGACCCCGTCTGATATTTGCAGGGCACTCAGTTACTCACCCAGCACTGTCACCTCTCTGCCTGACGCTGACACTGGTTTTTTTTATCGCCTCTTCCACCCTCCCATTTTGCAAAGAGGACCCGAGTTCCTAAGAGTGCCTTGCCCAAGGTCACACAGGTCAGTGTTGGAGCAGTATTCAGGCCTTCTTACACCCAATAATGCACATATACATTTGTATTTTTATATATTTACTTACATTTGTATACATGAAATATATTTTAATCCTCACCTGAGGATATGTTTTTATTGATTGTAGAGAGAGAGAAAGGGGGGGAGAGAAAGAGAGAAAAATTGATGTGAGAGAGAAACATCAATCAGTTGCCTCTTGTATGCACCCCACCTGGGGATTGAACCTGAAACCTAGGTATGTGCCCTGACCAGGAATTGAACCCACGCCTTTTGGTGTATGGACAATGCTCCAACCAACTGAGCCACCTGGCCAGGGCACATTTTTATGTCTTAATTGAAGTTTAAAAAATTACCATTTTAACTGTTTTTAAGTATATAGTTCTAATGAACTATGTTAAGTATGTTCACATTATTGTGCAACAGATCTCCAGAACATTTAAATTTTTTAAAGTTATTTTTTAAAATAATTTTTATTTTTAAATTACAGTTGACATACAATATATTAGCTTCAGGTGTACAACTCAGTGAATAGAAACCCACATAACTTACGATACTTAATAAATCCAATACCCATCCGGCACCATACATAGTCATTACAATATTATTGACTATTTCAGAACTTTTTCATCTTGCAAAATTGAAAACTCTATATATTAAACAACAACTCCCTGCCCGGCCTGTGTGGCTCAGTGGTTGAGTGTCGACCCATGAACCAAGAGGTCACCAGTTCTATTCTCAGCCAGGGCACGTGTGGGGGTTGTGGGCTTGGTCCCCAGTGGGGGACATGCAAGCGGCAGCCAATCAATGTTTCTGTCTCTCTATCCCTCTCCCTTCCTCTCATTCTCTCTAAAATAAATAATTAAAAAAACCTCCCCATTTCTCCTTCACCCCAGCCTCCGGCAACCTCCATTCTACTTCTGTTTCTATGAATTTGAATAGTCTAGGTACCTTATATAAGATAAATCATACAGTATGTCTTTTTGTGATTGCCGTATTTCACTGAGCATAATGTCCTCAAGGTTCATTCATGCTGTAGCATGTGTCAGAATTTCCTTCCATTTTAAGGCTGAATAATAGTCCATTGTACATATGTACCACATTTTGTTTATTTATTCATTTGTCAACCGACACAGGTTGCTTCCACCTTTTGACTATTGTGAATAATACTGCTGTGAGTAGGATCCTTGAGATCCTGCTTTCAATTCCTTTGGGTATATACCCACAAGTGGGATTTAATTCTCCATCTAATTCTAAAAATGAGCCCCTGTTGGAGTGGTTGAATCGGTTGAGCATTGGGCACCGAAAGATTGCCAGTTCAATTCCTGGTCAGGGCACATGCCTGGATTGTTGGTTTGATCCCCAGTCTGGGAGCATATGGAAGGCAACCAATCGATTGATGTTTCTCTCTCCCTTTGTCTCTCTAAGCAGGTCCTCGGATGAGGATTTAAAAAATAATAATTCTAAAAATTTGAGGCCACTATCCCAGCACCTTCATTGATATTTTTAAAATGTTCTGAATCTTGAATGAATGAATTAATGAATAAAGGGGCCAGAATGGAACAGAGGCAACAATGGAAAGGAGGAACCAAACAGAAGTCTTTGCTGGAATAAATCTTTTCACCTTTACCCTTGAGAAGTAGCTGCAAATAGACTTAGATCCATCAGAGGACTGGCGTGGCCAACCCTTGTTTTCTCATCTACACATAGGTCTCCTAACATCCCAAAGTTACATTCAAACAGAGTAACCCCTATCCATGTGAAAAGGTCACAAAGGAGGGGACACAGTATTCATAAGATTCGGTCTACATGGGTAAAGGATACAAATTCAAGATATTCTAGGCCGGTCACATGAACTTCACAAAGGATCCATGCAGGCAGAGTAGTGACTGTGGCATAATATGCTGGTCACCTCCAGACATTTTTTTTTTAATTTAAATTTTTTATTTTAAAGTATTACGTAAGCCTCCTTTCCCCCCATTGACCTCTCCCCGGCCACCCCCACCCACTACCTCCAGACATTTTTAAAAGCCAGATCTGATTTTCCTAAAGTTGGAAACCTGGATTTTTCTACGAAATATCTTGATTTTTAAAAACTGGATTTAAATTTTCAAAAAGATTTTAACAGCAATGCATAGATTTAAAAAAATAAAAAATAAAAGCAAGTTTGTAACATCTGGTGTGCAGCAGTGTGGAGCATTTGTGGTAGTCAGTGACCTCTGGGGAGGAGGCATGCCTGGCTTGTTTGACCAGAGCTGGGAAGAGGGTTGTGGTGATGCAGTGTAATCAAATGCCTACACCTGCCAAAGCTCTGCCCTCCTGTACTCAGGTAATGTTTAATGCGTTGCAGGCAGAGTGGAAGTGGCCAAAATGAACCAAGTTCTCCATGGTAGTATAGCAATGCTGGTCAGATCTTTCATCCATTCTGAGATTTGGTTGAGCCTACTTCACAGAATCATTGTAAGATTAAACTGTCACGAGAGAAACCAAGATGGCGGCATAGGTAAACACCGGAAATTGCTGCCTCTCACAACCACTTCAAAACTACAACTGAAAGACAAAACGGACATCATCCAGAACCACAGGAAGGCTGGCTGAGTGGAAATTCTGCAACTAGAAGGAAAGAGAAAAGCATACCGAGACTCAGAGGAGGTGCGGAAGTAAAGTGCAGAGGTACGGAGGCGCACGTAGAAAGGGCTGGCAACTGAGGACACGGTTGTCTTTTTCAATCGGGAGGGAGTCTCAAGCTCCCGACTGCTCTGAACTGCAGTTCTGGGCGAGTCTCTGGGGACCCAGACACATACAGGGAGAAACTGGACTGTCTGGCATCGGTTGGAGCTCGAGGGCGGCTTTCTCTCAGAGGTGCTTGCAGCGATTACCGGGACACTGAGACTCGGGACCTCTTAGGGTAGGACTGAGGATCTGCCATAGCTGTTTGCTCCGCCCTGTTGATTCCCTGAGACCCCGCCCCACCCAAGCTGTGCACAGAGGCTTTTTCATATGAAAGGCCTGGCCCTTTGCAATCTGAAAATTCCCTAACAAACTGCAGCTGGGTCAGAAAGACACAGAACTTCCAAAAGAAGGCCCAAGGCCCCACA